AATAAAAAGTAAGGTTTTAATTTTAACCCAGTAAAATTACATATAACAAAACAGGTATCAAGCAAAAATTAGACTTACAATATTTAGTCTATCTGTATCTGGAAAGTTTCAAAACTAATGTATCTTGTATCATAACTATGGTAAACTATAATTATAACTATCTGTCTTCAACTCTTCAAAGACCACAGAAGGATAAAATTTACCTAAGTAAACAGGAAGTAAATTGCAAGCAACTTCTAAAAATCTAGAATTGATAGAGACATTTTGCTGCCTGGGTAGTCACCAAAGTTCTTCTGAAAGCCTGGGCATCCATCTTTAGACTACAGACCCATAGTAGCTGACAGATTTTTCCACAAAGGATGAAGTTTAAAGATCTAATCTACCTTGTACTGGCAAAGTTTATCAGTTGCTTTCCTCTGTGTTCTGCAGAATGTCTGACATTTTCTTCTGTGAACTAGGGACACTGAAGAACAGTCTCACCTTCTTTAGGCAAGTTAAGCCGCCATATTTCTGTGGGTCTTGCATGTTCAGTTCATACAGTATAGCATCAAACAGTCCAGGCAAGAACAGTTTCTTGCCCAAATGAATAGCAAACTCCATAAAGAGCTTCATTGATGTCCATTATCCACTTGAAATAATTGTTACTGACAAAAATGACACCACAGTGTCAAGAAAAGGCTTAAATTCATAAAATATTTTAAATGTCAAATTCTGTAGGTCTTTGAAATTTCAGAAGATTACCTATCTAAGTATAATATATCTCTGTTTATCTAGAAAACCTAACATGACTACAAGTTTGACTATTATAAATGACTATCTATTAATCTGTATTTCTTAATTATACATTACATGTTTAAATGAGCTTCAGAAACACAATATCTTAAATAAGAAAAGAATATATATATATATATATATATATTCTTTTCTTATTTAAGAAATATATATATACATACATATATATTACACAGTGTAAAGAACTGACCTTAAATTTGTATCAATAGACCAAGATCCATGCAAATGCAAAGTATTCATCTTTATATCATATCTCTCCTCCTTTTTAATACAGAGATTGACTGTGACCATTTAACCATTTACAATCAACAATCAGTAAATGAATACAATCATGTCTAAAAAATAATTTGGGGAATTTGGTTGTAGTTTTCTTCAAACTGCTTCCTGGTGTTTGTTGGGAAAAATACTTTTAGGGTTCACAGAGACATTTCAGGGATCTTGTTCCATCAAATCACATTAGTCTGGAAGAAATCCACAAGTTCTCGTCTTTTGTGGAAACAAAAGCAGAATCTCTTTTCCAAAGTATCATATGCTTAGTCTCAAACTTTGAAATCAAGTCTTGCTTTTTTTTTATGTTTTTTTTTTTAGGTGTTATCTGGATCAGTGCCCCAGATAGTGGGTATAATTTTGTAACCAAAGGCTGCTCATTCATTTCCAGAATGCCCAGACCTGAATAATCACACAGAAACAATATTAATTACAACAGTGTTTGGGCAGTAGCTTAGGCAGATTTCTAGTTCACTCTTATATATTAAATTAACCCATTTCTAGTAATCTGTGCAAGGCCATGAGGCTGTGGTTTACAGGGCAAGATTCTGGCTTCTGTCTCCTTCAGTAGCTACATGGCATCTCCTTGAATCCATCTACTCTATATATCTCTTCCAGCCTGACTATATTCCAGCCCTGCCATATGCCATAGCACCTTTTTTATCATTAACCAATAATAACAGCACATATACAGTAGGACATCAAGATAGGAAGTTTTCAACTTTAATATAATGAAAATTATATATAAAAAACGAGTATCAAACAAGAATTATATTTACAAAATCAAATCAATTTATATTTAATAAAAATAAGGAAAATTCTCTATTATCTGTCTTTGTTAATCTAAAGTTTCATATCTAATTTATCTTTTATCATAACTAAGGAATGATATAATTATAAGTATTTAGTCTTCAACTCCAATGACTACTCCAGAATGATATAATATTACCTAAATAAATTGGAAGTACATTATAAGACCTAGGGTATTTGGCAGATCTATCAGTGAAGCAGAAAATTTGAAGCTGTCCTAACTATATTAGTAGTTTGTCAGTCATTTTTTTTTCATTTTCCTGGAAATTATATGGCAGACTCTTTCATGAAACAGGAGTAAGGACTGTGCCAACTTCAAGCTCAGCAGTCCTTTTCCTGTGGGTCCTACATGTTCAGTTTGTATAGCATACAGTCAATCAGTTCAGGCAAGAGCAGTTTGTTGCCCATGTGGTTAGCCTTGCCACACCAAAGGCAAACTCCATGATGAGTAACTTCAATGACCATTATCCTCTTTGAAGTGATAAATGATTCCAGGAGCAAAATTCTCACATCCAATAAATTTGAAGTTCCTATAAAAAATTTAATGCCATATATTGTAGGTTTTGAAGGCTTTGAAGGTTATATATCCATCTGAATTATATCTCTACATATCTAGAAAACCTAACTAATATGTCTGTAAGCTTAACTATTATGATGAGTATTAATTTTTATTTCTTTTTTTTCCATGTTAAACTTGCTTTTATTTATTGTGTAGCATGTGCATTACAGGAAACAAAACACAAGAAGCCAAGAACAGTCACCCAGTCACATGCAGCTGCAAGTGTACACACATCAGGTAACTGAGGTTACACAGTATGCACCATGCTTGCCCCCACATTGTGATTATTCACCATCTAAAACCCCACGCTACATGAGTATGTTGATAACCAAGAATACACCACGCCATCTCAATCTGTCAGACAAAGCTGTAATCCTGTCTTCCTTGGCAACAAAACTTTCATAGAAGACAAAAATGGCAGCAGGCCTCTAGATAGAAGTACTGGCGAAGTTACAATTAAAATTCTGCATTCCCTCAATGCTCAGCTTACAGGGAAACACAAAGCAACAGAGCACACTAAGCACAGCATTCCTAAGTTTATCTTCAGATCTGTGCATTATATTTATAAATGAGCTGCATAAACATAATAAACAAGAGTAGAAATATACATATAGTATAATTAAATTGACCTTAAATTTATATCGATATACAAAAATCTTTAAACAAGTATAGAAACATATACAACATAACAAAATTAACTTCATATTTTTACCTTTACACCAAAATCCATGGAAATGCAAATATCAGAGATTAATAGCTATCTTTTTGTCCTACATTTCTATATTTCCCTAAATATAACATACATGCATAACCTACAATTAACCAAAGGGTATCCATAGTTCCCCAATTCTTGGGAATACAGATGGCATTTTCTCCAATCTACATCCTGTTGTCTGTGGACCAAGTATCTTTAGGGTTCATGAAGACATTTATGTGTTTCTTGCTCAATCAAACCATATTAGCCTCGAAGAAATCCACAGGTATAACTCTTTTGTGGAAACAAAAGTAGAACCTCTTTTCCAAAGCAACATATCCTTAGATTTAAATTTTGAACTCAAGATAACTTTAAAATATATATGCTGGTTTCACTCAGTAGCTACCACAATCAAAGTCGTTAGTTCATGAGCAGTCAAAAATTTCCAAGTAAACACAATAATACATGTAATCCAGACTGTGTTTTTTGTCTTTGCATGGCCAGTTATATCTTTTTAGTCTATTTCCACTTTAAGAATCCCAATTTATTTTCCTTAAATCAATTTTATCTATGCCTCTACTGATCCTCTATCTTCTCTCTTCCAAGATCATGTACATTTATCAAACACACTGTGACTTGTTCAGAGCCTCTTTCTTTGAATCTATTTTTATTGCGTATCTCTAAACCATTTTTGTCCAGGGGAGTTTTTAAAACTTTAAGTGGGCATGGCTTTAACCAAGGCAGTTGCCCTGGATGATGGTTCTGCCCTGTTTGGTTTTAAAACATGGTGGAGGTATGTTCACTGCCAGCTCTAGGAATAAGCAGGCCCATGTCCCCATGAAGCAGCTTGTAGCACACTGCCTATAAACCCTTTTTTTTTGTCAGTATGAGTAAAAGCTAAATCTGCAATGGAGTGCACTGCATGGCTTGGAGATGCCTCTGTGTACCTCAACAGGAATCTGCCATGCTAGCCTCAAGACCAAATGCCACTGCATCTATATATCATGGCCTGAACAAGAGACACAACTAGGAAGCTGTCCTTGTCTCTACTTATGTGTTCAGAACTCCTCTTTTTCAAAGCTTTCTCATGTCTTAGGTGGCTGTACTTGTCCTGCATTGGCACCATATGTAACTGGAGAGTTTTCTTTGTCTTGCCTGGTCCTATTGGACTGGTTTCTCTCTGCCCAGCAGTATTCTCAGCTGCTTATAAGAAAACCAATTAGAAACATAATATTAAGTATAATTGTTTGGCCAATGTCGTAGGTCAATGACTGGCTATCTCTCACAACTAAATTAACCCATCTCTTCTAATTTGTGTTTTAGCACATGGCTGTGGCTTACTAGTAACATCCTGGAATATTACTCTTTGGTGGCTACCTGGCATCTCTCTGACTCTGCCTTCTTTTGGTCCACGTATTTATTTGGATTTACTGCCTGGCTCTATTCTGCCTGCCCACTAGATGAAACAGCTTTATTTGTCAACCAGTGAGAGAGAAATATAGTCATAGCATACAGAAAGAGATTCCGTATCACTTGACTACCAGGTCATTCTAGATATCATTAAGATGACAATAGAACTTAATTACTACAACTTCTGAAAATATTTCAAAGTACACGTTAAAACCAAGAAACTAGAACTAATTATTAAAATTCTGATGTAAATTGTGGTATTAAAAGGGAAGGAGGCCTTTGTCAGTGACCTCCAACAGAGAAGGCCTAATCCAGCAACCTCCACTGCAACAGGACCAAGGAAGTAACATCCACAAGAGCAAGTACAAGGGAGTGACCACCAAGGGAGCAGGTCCAAGCCAGAGACCTCTGAGGGATTGGACCAAAGTCAGGTATCTCTGCAAAAACAGACCAGAGCCAGGGATACTCATGGGAACAGGTCAAGCCAGCAACCTCCACAGGAGCAGTCCCAAAGCAACAACTCCCACAGAAGCAGATAAAAGGGAGCAACCACTGAGGGGCCAGGGCCAAGCCAGAGACTGCTGTGAGACTGGGTGTGAGTCAGGGACCTCTGAAAGAGGAGGTCTAAGACAGCAACCTCTGCCAAAGCAGGTCCCTGCAAGCAAACTAAGCAGAATCAGGTATGAGTATATGGCCACCAAGGGAGCAGGCCTGAACCAGAGACCTCTTCAGGACTTGGTCCAAGCCTTTGTGGGAGCAGGTCTGAATCAGGGACATCCTCAGGAACAGGCCAAAGTCATCAACCTCCATTGGAGAAGGTCTGAGCCATCCAGTGACCTCTGCCAGAACAGGCCTGAGGCAGAGACTTCCATAGGAGCAGGTACATGAGAGCAAAAACAGAGGGAGCAGGTCTGAGACAGAGACCTCTGCGGGACCAGGCCTCAGGCAGGAACCTCCATGAAAACAGGCCTGGGCCAGGAACCTGCACTAGAGCAGGCTTGAGCCAGCCAGCAACCTCCACCAGAATAGTCCCAAGCCAGCCAGCAACGTCTACTAGAGCAGGCTCAAGACAGCAACTTCCACTGGTGCAGTCCTAAGCCAGTAACCTCAGGAAAAGCAGCCCCAAGCAAGCAACCTCCATGGGAAGGGGTCCGAATGACCTCTTGGATTGCAGAGTGACAACCAGGAGTTCTGAGCAACCTCCAGGAACACCAAGTGACCTTTTGGGTGACTGGAACTGTGGCCCTGACTGTACCATGAGGAACAAATATATGAGCCTTGAATTTACTAGCACCTGGGACATTGATCACCAGAGACAAAGCCCCAACTACACCAATCAAAGGAAAAGATGGGTAGACAAGGTAAGAACAGACTCAAAACCACAAAGAGTAACATGACACTAACAAAACTAGTACAACAGTAACACCCCATCTGTATTGAATATCCCAATACAGGTGAAACAGAAGAAAATTACCTAAAACATAACTTCAGGAGAGTGATTGAGGCCCTTGAAGACAAAATAAAAATTCCCTCAAAGAAATAGAGGAAAAGACAAACAAAAAAAAATGAAAGAATTCAATTGATCCCTTAAAGAAAACCAGAAAAACACAAACGGGTGAAAGAAATAAATCAAGAATAAAAACCAAAAAAGGGACAATTAAAAAAATTGAAGGAATTCTGGAAATAGAAAATAAGAGAAAACAATCAGGAACCACAAATGCAAGCATAAACAGCAGAATATAAGTGATGGAAGAATGAATCTCAAGAGCTAAATATACAATAAAGGAAATAAAGTCATTGGTCAAGAATACATTAAATCAACAAAAGCTTAGCACAAAATATTTAAGAAATATGGAACACCATGAAAATACAAAACCTAAGAATTATAGGGATAGAAGAAGAAGAAGTTCAATTCAAAAGCACAGAATATATGTTCAACAAAATTGTATAGAAAAACTTTCCCAAACTTAAAAAAGGTACACATATGAAAATACAGGAAGCTTACAGAACAACAAATAGACTGAATATAAAATAAATCCCTTTGCCACATAATAATTAAAACACTAAACATACAAAATAAAGAAAGACTATTAAGAATTTCAAAGAAAAATGTCCACATAACATAAAAAGGCCCACTTATCAGAATTACACATGACTCCTCAATGGAAACAATGAAAGCCAGAAGGTCCTGGTTAAGATTTATGCGGACATTAAAAGAGGACAGATGCTAGCTCAGATTGCTATACCTAGCAAAACTTTCAGTCATCAAAAAGCTCAAAACAACATATTCCATGACAGAACCAGGTTTAACCAATACCTAGCCTCAAACACGACCATACACAAAGTAGTAGAAGAAAAACTCCAACCCCCCCAAATTACCTACATCCACAAAAGACAGACACAGCAGCAAATCCTAAGGAAGGGAAAAATACACACAATAATATCACCAACGCTGTAAACTGAAATAACAGGAACTAGCAATCACTGGTTATTAATATGCCTTAATATAAATGGACTCAACTCACCTATAAAAAGACACAGGCTAAGAGATTGGATACGAAAACAGAATTCACCCTTCTGCTATAACAAGAAACATACCTCAAACTCAAAGACAGACATCGCCTCAGAGTAAAGGGATGGGAAAAATTTTTCCAATCAAATGAACCTGAGAAACAAGCTGGTGTAGCTATTGTAATATCTAACACTATAGATTTCGACCTAAAATCAATCAAAATAGAAAAAGAAGGACATTTCATATTAGTCACAGGAAAAATGCATCAATCGGAAATCTCAATACTGAACATCTATGTCCCAAATACAAGTGCACACTCATATATAAAAGAAATAATACTAAAGCTTAAATCACACATAAAACCATACAAACTAATAATGGAATACTTCAACACCCTACTCTCACCACTGGACAGGTCTGTCAGACAGAAACTTAACAGAGAAATGAGGGAACTAACAGATGTTATGACACAAATGTACTTAGCAGACATCTATAGAACATTCCATCTAAACATAAAAGAATATACCTTCTTCTCAGCACCTGATAGAACCTTCTCAAAAATTGACCACAAACTTAATAACAAAATAAACCTCAACAGATAAAAACTATTGTAATAATGCCATGTATCTTATTGGAGCACCAAGGCTTAAAATTAGAATTTAAGAGCAACGTTAATGCCAGGCGGTGGTGGCGCACACCTTTAATCCCAGCACTCAGGAGGCAGAGGCAGGCAGATCTCTGTGAGTTTGAGACCAGCCTGGTCTACAAGAGATAGTTGCAGGACAGGCTCCAAAACCACAGAGAAACCCTGTCTCGAAAAACCAAAAAAAAAAAAAAACCCCAAAAAACACTGTTAATTTCATAAAGACAACAAACACATAGAAATCAAGCAATGCTCACCTGAATCATAAAGGGGTCAAGGAAGAAATAAAATCAGAAATTATAGACTTCCTAAAATATAATGAAAATGACCACACAATATACCAAAATTTATGGGACACAATGAAAGCAGTGTTAAGAGGAAAGTTCATAACACTAAATGCCTACATAAAGAAGCTTGAAAAATTAAACACAGAACACCTAAGTACTCAGAACAAAAAGATGCAAACTTACCCAGGAAGGCTAGATGGCAGGAAATCATCAACTTGAGAGCTGAAATCAACAAAATAGAAAAAAAAAACAATACAAAGAATCAATGAGACAAAGAGTTGGTTATTTGAGAAAATCAACAAAATAGACAAAACTTTATCCAAGCTAACCAAAAGGTAGAGAGAGAATATCTACATTAACAAAGTCAGTAATGAAAAGAGGGACAAAATAAAAGACAAAGAGGACATCCAGTGAATCATCAGGTCATATTTCGAAAATGTGTACTCCACAAAATTTAAAAACAAAGGAAATGGGCAATTTTTGAGACAAATATCACTTATCAAAATTAAGACCATATATGCAAATTAAACAGACCTGTAACTGCTAAAGAAATAGAAACTGTCACCAAAAGTCTCCATCCCCCCAATTAAAGCACAGGATCAGAATGTCTCAGTGAAGAATTCTACAAGATTTTCAAAGAAATAATGCCAATACTTCTAAAATTGTTCCATGCAATAGAAACACAAGGAACATTACCAAACTCTTTTTTTCCTTAAGAATATGTTATTTATTTCTTTTTTTAATTTACTTTTTTCCATTTAAAACTTTACACTTCCTCCCCTCCTCCCATTGCCCTCCTACTCCCCTACTTCCTCTCCTGCCTCCCCCTGCCTCCTTAAGAGAGGGTAGGAAACCCTTCTCTGTGGGAAGTCCAAGGCTCTCCTTCCTACATCCAGGCCTAGGAAGCTGTGCATCCAAATAGACTAGGATCCTAAAAAGCCAGTACATGCAGTAGAAACAAGTCCCAGTGCCTTTATCAATGGCTTCTCAGTCAGCCACATTTACAGAGTCCGGTTTGATTGCATGCTCATTCAGTCCCAGTCCAGCTGGATTTGATGAGCTACCATTAGAACAGGCACACTGTCTCAGTGGGTGGACCAACCCCTCGCGGTCCAGACTTCCTTGCTCATCTTTTCCCTCTTTCTGCTCTTCAACTGGACCTTGGGAGCTCAATTTTTTGTTATGATGAGGGTCTCTGTCTCTATCTCCATCCATCGCTGGACAAAGATTCTATGGTGATATTTGAAATAACCATCAGTGTGATAGTGGGGCAAGGCCAGTTCAGGCACCCTCTGCTCTCCTGCCCAAGTACCTAGCTTGGGACATCCCCGTGGACACCTGGGATCCCCTTTAGAGCCAAGTCTCTTGCCAACCCTAAAATGGCTGCTTTAATGTAGATATCATAAATGCCACCCCACACCTATCCCATGTTCCCAACTTTTGCCCGGCAATCTTGTTTGCTTCCTATTTCCAGGAGGACCTATATATGTTTTTCTTTGGGGTATGGATGGGGTTGGGAGAGGGGAGAGGGGGAGAGAGAAAAGATAAAGGAAAGACTGGAGAGAGCTTGGGTGAGTGGGAGGGTAGAGATGGAGGAAGGGCGGATATAGGAGCAGGGAACATATCTACATTAAGGGAGCCATTTTAGGGTTGGCAAGAGACTTGGCTCTAGATGAAAAGAATTTATTAGTTTTACATTGAGTTCAGATTAAAAGACCAAGGTGTTTAATGAACTATAATCTCTTCTAATTAAAAGGTGTCTCTTGTTCAAATCGAATCTTTTTGAATTTTGATTGTATCCATAGTTTTTCTTCTCCATTGGAAACAAAAGCAAAAATCCTCCCCCACCATAACACATGTCTTGGATTCCATTTTGAAGTCAGTACATCATTAAAGTATATCGGCTAATTTAATTCTGTAGTTTTTCTTCTATCAATATCTTACTGCAGCTGTGTTTTCTTTCTCAGAATTAGGGCTAAGAGTTCAGTGAACTGAAACTGAGTTGAATATCCCATCTCTAAGGACTATATTTTATGGAATAAAAAGCCACCATGAAAGATTCTGAATGAGAAACAATGAACTATCCTACTCAATTTTGCTGCCTATAAACTACAACTACAAATATGATTCAATGCCCCTAAGGGTATAGTAGTGCCACAAATAGCTTGGTGGTAACCAACAGTAGCTCTCTAATTGAATTTAAGATCTACTCAAGAGGGAACTCATGCTTAACTATAGAAACCTAACCAACAAATCAAGGCTAAATCATGAATCTTAGAGAATTTACAACCTGTTCTGAAAATTAAACTTGATGAATTCTGTGAGTAAAGAAAAAAAAATAATGTGTATAGCATTAACAAAGAAACAAAGGAAAAAGGCAGACTGCCAGATATAATATAAATGGATATTGTTATTAATGCTATAGCAAAAATAAAACT